CCCGGAGCCGAAACCTCTGCTGCACCTTCCTGTGCTGCCCCTCGGCCAGGGCAGAGCAAGGGTAAGGATTTAGTTGGGCTCAGTGGCAATCGCTGATGTCACTGCATCCATGCAGCAGCTAACATCAGTGGTTTGATGCACCCAAGATGAGCAAATGCCTTCCTAATTAAACTCCTCCTCTTTTTTTTTTTTAAATGTTGCATACACCTACCCCAGGGAATGTCTCCACACTCAGCTTCCTACTTCACACATTTCTATTTGACTCACAGCTGTTAATGTTTATACTGGTACTTACTGGGGCTCCCTTTTCACCTGCGGGTCCTGGAGGTCCCTGGGGGCCAGGTCGCCCTGGCAAGCCTATGGGGCCAGCTGAGCCCGCGGGACCGCGCTCACCAGGAGAACCCTGTTCAGAGAAGAAGGAAGGAAGCGTTAACTGGAGTATCGAGCTTCATCTCTATCCAGAAAGAAAGAAATCCAGCAGTAGGATGCTGCAAATACATCGTCAGTAAGGCAGCACGTTTGATGGGGTGACTGCCATGTGATGACTTGGTACCATCAGCCCAAGGGATCCTGCAGATCTTTTGTTAATTAAAATCCTTGGAAGGGCTGGGTTCTCCTCTGGATGACACAGGGAGCTCAGTTCCTGGGGGCACATTATCAGCTTGGACCCAGAGCATGAGCCACTTCCAGACCCATGCAGCAGGGAGGGCTGGGTGAGGAATATTTCCTTCCAGGAGGGCTGCACTGAGGACGATTCTCAAGTGGGGACAACTTTCAGAGGGAAAGCAAGTGACTTAGAAGCAAAATTCTCAATGTCCTGAATCACTCCGGTTCCCTCAGCTTGTCACGTATGTTCATGGCTGACACCACTAAATGGCTGAGCTATTACATGCGTGTCTTGTAAAATAAAGCAACACCCAGCACGTCGTTAGTTAGCGCAAAGGAAATAACGGATAAAGCACCGAGCTGTGACTAACCCTCCGCTTTGGCTTGCCAAGCTTGTAAACGCGTTAGGTGGTGCCTGTAAGGGCAAGGATACTCACTGCTGGACCAGGGGGGCCTGGGGGACCTTCGTTGCCTTTCAGCCCTGGAGCACCCTGGAGGAAGGAAAACAAAGTCATTTGGGGAGGTGGGTGCTGCACCGCCTGGGCATCCTTCCCGCTGGAAGGAGCAGGCACAGCGTCTACTCACAATGGGGCCAGGGAGACCTCTCTCTCCAGGGAAGCCTCGCAAGCCGGGGGGACCATCCTTCCCTGGGAGGCCGGCGGGACCAGGGTCCCCCTGCAACGACAGGGATCAATGGCTGAGGGTCTGCAGACTCCACAGAGACCCAGCTGCTCTCTCTGGGCTCAAGCTGTGACGAGGCACCATGAAACATCCTGTCCTTGTTGGACCATCCCTCTCCATCTCTGGGAGAGAGACGGCATCCCAGCTTGCAACGAGGGTGAATCCAGTAGGATGCTGGTCCCTACCTTGGTCCCTTCTTTTCCAGTGAGGCCAGGAAGACCTTGTTCACCTGGGGGACCTGGAGGGCCTGGATGTCCTCGTTCACCCATCGGCCCAGTCTCACCAGTCGGACCCTGAAGAAACAGAGATCAGGGAGAAGGTGGTGGGTATCAGCTGAACAAACAATGATGGAGGAGGTTCAGGCTGCGAGGTTATTGCGTTAGGCTGCAATGGGATGGAAGATGCTCCTTCCCCCAGCTGTCCCCTGCAGTGCCACCAGGAATCCCTGCAGAGATGCCTCCTTTGGCATCTAGAGCTTTGGTCAGGTTGCATGTAGGTGGTCTCCCTCTCACCCTACACCAATTTTACACTGAGGTAGTTCTGGTGAGTCCCCAGGAGCCACCTCATTTACAGCAGCCGTCCGGCACGGTGCCCCAATCCCATCCTAACGCCTCGACTCGGTGGGCTGGGACCCACTGGGGTATTTCAGACCCTGGCCAGGAACTCCAAAGCCATCGAGCTTGCTTCACCGTCACTTTTCCTTCCCTGGAAGAGGAGGCTCTGTGCTGTATAACTGCAGTCCCAGTAGCTCCAGTAAAACCAGCAGAGCCACTGGTGCCAGCTGTGCTGTACTGGTGAGTATGAGCTGTGAGGGATGGGGCAAGCACGAGCCTTCGCTTCTTACCTGAGGGCCAACAACCCCGGGGGGTCCTGGAGGGCCAGTCTTGCCTTGGAAACCCTGTTAGAAAAAGGGAAAAGAGAAGGAGATGACACTTCTGCAGGGAGTGCTCCAGTGAGGGTCCCAGGCTGCCACCCGACTGCTCCTCCGCTGAAACCACCGACCGGGAACGGATGGACACCCAGAGACAAAAGAACAAGAAATCAAACAGAAAGTGGAAAATATGTCTTTGTACATTTACACAGGGGTGAAACAGAGGAGGAAAAAGGGATTCTCAAAGCTCAGCTCTGCTGTTTTGATGGAGCTACCGTGGTTTGGCTGAAGGAGTGGCCATATATATAAAAAAATTTGCTATGCTCATAAAACCTACAGAGGAAATGGCTATTAAAAAGTCAGAATGTGTGAGTTTCCTCATACTTAGTAATTCTTAATAACCATTTCCCTTCTCCTGCTCCCCGTTCAAGCACTGGTTCAGGCTTAGCTCCCCGGAGCTCGGAGGCTGGGTGACCGCCTTCCACTTTGGGCACCGGCAGCGCCGATCCCCAGCCTCACGAAAGCCCATGAGCCCCCAGCCCTGGGGGCTGAGCGAAGCTTTATTTCCTTCATCAACATGTGTTGAAAGAAATCACAAATGTGTTTCTCTCCCAATGCTGATGAGTATCGAAGTCTCCATGACAGCTACTTATAATGACATTTGAAGAGTGCCAGTAAGGAACTATCAGCACTGCGATTGTTTAGCTCTCCTAAGCCACTCTGTAAAAAGCACATTCATTATCATTCGTACTACAGCATGCTGACAAGCTGGGGAAATGTCATTTAGGGCACGCAGGCTATTTTCTCATTGCCACAAAAGACGATCAGATAAATCCCAAGGCAACGGTAATGTGTCATGCTAAAAAAACTACTCGATATTATTCTGTAGTTGTCTGCAGATCACAGAGAATATCCTGTTATTGATGGGGAAATGGCAAAACATCGTCGGGAAATGAATGGAGAATTCAAACTCTTATCGTAGAAAAATATTTCAGCCAGTTCTGTACAGGACTTTTCCTATTAATGTGAAGAAAGGGGATTCCTTTTATCTTGTCTGAGCCTTGAGCAGAGCTTTTAGAATTTTTCTTGGGGTTTTTTTTTTAGATCCAATCTTTATAAATCTAATACGGTCAAATATTTTGTCATCCTTCAGTGTGCCTATTTGCTAGTAAATGAAAAGTAAAATAAAGGGAACTATTTGACACACAGATTTCAAGTCCAAGTCTTCTTGCATGAAGATACAGAGTGCTCTGACAAGGCTACTGAGGTGGAAATACTATTTAATTTGGTTTTATGTTTCTCTCCTCACTTTTTGACACTGCATAAGGAAAGGGAGAAAAAAAAAGGGACTTCTGCTACCTAGGTCTGCACACATCTGCACCCCAAGAGGATACAGGGGAAAGTGATCTTTGCAAGCTTGGTCACGGCACAGATTAACAGATTTTGGGCTCTTTGGAAGGATTTGCCTGTGATGGGCAAGCTGGTGCTGCAATGAGTGGAGAAAGCTATCAGGGAGTACTTTCAGACCCCAAATAATTGAAAGCCCGTTCTCCATTCATATTTATGCAGATTTGGGGTCTATTGCTTTATTCTAAGTTGATAACAGCAGATGCTAGTAAAGTTTTTACTACTTCTTCTGATTTGACTATAGGTGTCCTGGATGTTATAACTCAGTGAAGGAAGACTAAATGTCACAGTCGGGCTCTGGCAGGTGAAAACTCTTCTCTTCACATTTAAGTTAATCCTGACCTGAGGATTGTGTGTTCAAAAATACCACAACCATTGCCTTAAAGTCAGTCTTACAGCGTGTCAATAAATATCCAGCGTTGCGCTGAGCAGCATTTGTGTTGCCTTGCTTAGCCAATGCCAGGCAAGTTAATTAAATTGTTGTGTGATAAGTTGAGGGGAAAAAATGCAAAATGTGCAAAGCCTCTGTAATGCTCATTTGCTGGGAAAGACAGTGGAGAAAAATGCAAAGCTGAGTAGAGGGAGTTGTTTCTTGGTTTTTTTTTGTGTTTTTTTTTTGGTTTTTTTTTTTGGTTTTTTTTTCCCTGTAAAATAAACACAGAACAAAGAGTCTATCTGCTAACATGCAGCATGCAGTGCTGGGGAGAGGGGTGTACCAACAACAGTGAATGAGCTGGGTTGTAAACAGCCAAAGAAAAAGAATAAACATTCCCCAAAAATGCCAAACGGAAAGATACTAATTACTGCATGCAGAGGAATACACGGCAGAAGGGTCATTTTTGCTCAGGGTACCCTTCAAGCAAAAAAAAAAGTGCAGAAAACAGACCACCAGAGACGCACGACAGCCAGGGTATCATACCTTCCGCATGCCTCATCGTTCTCCTTTGGTGAGAAACAATGATTACGTCTGTGCAACAAAACCTTTTACAATGGACAAAGCAGTATGCGTACGACACAGCGCGGCACCGAACCAGCCAGGAGCCACTCTCTGGGCTGCAGCGAGGGATTATTGCTGAAGCAATACTTGGGGAAGTCCTTGTGCGTAGCTTTGGCTCAAAGGCAGCATCAGCAGCGATGCTCTTCGGGTGCTCAGGCAGCGGCTGATGCACGAGTGCGCTGCAGTAACCAGTGTGGACAGAAAAACTGGAGCAAACCCATTGCACCCCTTGTCTCGGCCAGGAGTTGCCTTCCTCTCAAAACAAGCGCTGTCAAAACTGGGCTGTAACTCTTTTTTGCTGTGCAACAGTTCTTGGCCTTCAGACGGTGCAACAAGAAGTGAAAAATCTATTTCTCCCCATTGCAGGTTCCAGAGAAAATAAAAGTGCTCCTGACCTAAGGCAGCTGGATGCAGAAAGCTGAGCTTGCAAAGGATGGAGCCCGCCTCGCATGAGAGATGTCTGCTATCACAGCCCTGGGGCTATGTCTCTGGAACAGCGAGACATCAAATCTGCACATCTCCAGAGGATGGAGCGGCAAAGCAAGCCCAGAGGTTCCCATAACGCTCCAGAGAGCAGAGGCACAGCCTCCCGCTTTGGAGGCAAAGGGATGAGTGCTTCGGCGAGTCCTGGGGTACAGAGCCCATCCACAGGGAATGCTCGGACATCACCCCCAGGCTGCTTCTCCACCTCAGGAAAGCAAGGACCACACTGAGTGCTGGTGCTGACCCAGCCCCAGCCTGGCGAGGAGCTGCCTCTGCAGCACCCATCAGGACAGAACCCAGCCGCCTCCGGTGCTGGTCACCAGCATCACTACATCTCTCCATTCGTGTTTTCTCTGTGCATGATGCACGTGTTGCAGGGAAAGTTGTGGATGCCCCATCCCTGGAGGGGTTCAAGGCCAGGCTGGATGAGGCTTTGGGCAACCTGGGCTGGTGGGAGGTGTCCCTGCCCATGGCAGGGGCTGGGACTGGATGGTCTCTAAGGTCCTTTCCAACCCAAACCATTCTGGGATTCTATGTTGACCTCCACACAAGGGACAGAGAGAGAGGAGTTGATGCACAACCTTCACAGAAACCATCATTAGCCCGACCCGTCCTGCTCAGAAGAGGGCTGCTTCCCGTAGACCATCCCATGCAGCTGGAGAGACACAGACCTTCCAGGAACCCAACATGCGGCCGCATCTCCCCAGCTGCACAGAAAGGTTTAGAAAAACCAACCGGCAAGACGAGACTCAGGACTAATGATCTGCCCAAGAGCTTTGGCTACTTACGGTTTCTCCTCTCTGTCCGGGGTGACCAGGCAATCCATCCTTCCCAGGAGGACCCTACAGCAGAAAACCAGGGTGAGAAGGATCATCACTAAGTAAAACTGGGATAAGGAGCGAATCAAACCTGCTGCCCTCCTTGTATTCATTCCCATTAACAGCAAAAATGGGGGTGCTCAGAACCCTAAAAGATACAGCCCTTTCCCACACATCTCCCCAAGGAAAGATGGATGTTACAGGTGCGGAGCGGGAGCGAGCTGACCACCACAGGGAAGGAAATCACTGCAAAAAGGTTTCTGAGGTCCCCCCACCAGCTTATAATAATTGCAGAGGCAGCAGCGCTACTGTTGTGCTGTCCCCCCAGTCCCAGTGGAGGGAAAATAAAGACCAGAGCAACCACGAAAGATCCTAGCGATATGGAGTCATTAGGAAATGAACATTTATAATCAGGTGCAAGTTATGTGGCTATTCAAAATCCTAAACCGTTGGGTTATTATCATGATGTCTCAGTAATACCTTTCATTGGCTACATCACCGTGTGTCAGAGAACGGCACCAGCGATCGCAGCTGGATGGAAAAGACTTTATGTATTTCTTTGCGTGTTCCAGAAAAGAGAGTTACTTACAGGGGGGCCTTTTGGTCCAGGAAATCCAGTTGGTCCTTGAGGCCCTGGTGGTCCCTGGGATGTAAAACAAGCCAGAAAACATGGTTAGGGAACATACACACTTTACTGTGAAATAGTAGCTCTGCGCGGACAGCAGATGAGCACAAAGATGCACAAAGCCAGGTATTCCACCCCAAAGAAATGCCCCAAAATGGGAGATGCAGCTGCACGGGGTCATCACTTGGGAAAAAAAACAAAAAAGGCATGAAAAAAAAAATGGCCTGTCCAGCTGCAAAAAGCACTGCAAACATGAAGAGGGCATCAACTGCTTTGTGCCTTTCCCTCCCAGCACTATGAAAAAGAGGTCTTTTCCCGTCCCAGCTTGAGTGAGAGCACCTGGGAGCCACCAGCTTGTGCAGGAATGGGGGGAAAAAAAAAAAAAAAAAAAAAAAAAAAAAAAAGAGCGGGTGGCTTTGGGGCTCCTGCCACAGAGATGCTCTCCAGAGCATCCGCTCCCCAGATTACCTCCCTGGGTAATTTTGTAGAAAATTTACAAACAAAACAAAACCCAGGAAAAACAAAGCAGAAATTGAGACTAGAAACATGCAAGTCCCATCATTTCAGTGTTTTCCACCTAGCATGCCGTGATCTGGAGAAGGCACTAGAAGGTCCTAGGGAGCCACCTCCTCCAGCAATCCGGGTCTCTAGCTGTCTGTACAAAACCCCTGGGTGACTTTTCCCTTTTCCCACGGAGCGATGCTCACACAGGACACCCAAGGTCCCATTCGAGCCTTCCTTGGAGAGCTCAGGAAGGACCCATGGGCTGCAGCTGACTTGTGAGACCGCTCTCCACACCAGGACATTTCACCTCAGATTCCTCATGAGATTTTTCCTTTTCACTGACCGAGGTAAGCTAAGCCACATCCTGGCTCCCACAGGCTGCCCACCCCTCTCTGCTGAACAGGGTCCTTGGGAGGATGCTTACTGCAAAAACCCCTCAGCAAACCCGCCTCCTCTGCCCCGTTAAACTCTGAGCCCCACTTTATCCCCGCCGGCTTGTCTTACCCTTTCGCCAGGAGGACCAGGGGGGCCATCACCACCAGAGTTGCCCTTTTACGAATAAACGAAAACAACACACTATTAAAAATACATATATCACCATTGCAGCTGCTTTGCACAAAGACTTCAAACAGCACCAAGCCCACGGTGACACACACCAGCTCCCCCTGTCCCCCTCTATGAAGAATTCCGGATCGGAAGCAGCATCCAGTGACAAACGAGCAGCTGCTTGTTCCCCCCTGTATCGCTTCATAAAAATACAGGAAAGATAACGGCAGCCAGCTCAGGATATTTCCACCAGATAACGGCCTCCCTCTGAGAGATAAATGCAGCCGCGAAGACGAGGTATTTATCAAAAATTCATGCCGACACAAAGCCGAGATATTTATTTTTAAAGCCGGCAGCACGGCGGTGACAACGTCTCCTTACAAAAGCTTTGCTTCCATCACGCCTGGCGATTGATGGTCACCTCATTGGTCTCTGCAGCAGGTTCTGGAGCTGAGCCTGACCCCAGGTGGGTTGGTGGAAAAACCCCAATTTTGCCCAGTGACCAGTTGTGGGTGTACAGTGCCTGTGCAGAGCGACTCGGCAAGGTGCAAGGTTCTGGAGCCCAGCAGCAGTATGTGCCCGCTCACCCATGGCACAACCTAAAGCCTCTAAGGTGCTTCAAATACTACTTAAACACCAAACAGTAGTGTTCAGCAGAAGCACCAGCGGATCACAGGGCTGTGCTGGTCCCTGCCATGGGGGACCTGTGCACACACTTTATGGATGGGTTAGAAACCATGTGGCTGGGCGATGAAGCTCAGGAGGGCTCAGCTTTCAAAATATAATGGAAATCTCAAAATATAATCTCTTTTCGAGAGAAGGGAAATGGAGGGCAATGAACCCAACGGTCTCTTATATCAGGACTTTTTAGGACGCAACTCCACCAGGCTCCCAAAACCTTACCTTAGGGCCAGGTTTCCCAGTGCTTCCCCTAGGGCCTCTTTCCCCACGTGGACCCTTAAAAAGACATAAAAAATAACATTTTAGTGCTTCTTGCACAGCACTACATTGCAATCAGGCAGAGCACCCAAACCCCAGAGCTGCACCAGGTCAATGCATTGTCCCACCAGCAGCAAGGGGATGACAGGAGCCTCCAGCACCGCCACAAGAGGTCTGATGGCTTTAAACCACCCTCACTGGTGACCCCCAGCCCCAAATCACTGGGTCCTACCACAGATCCTACTCAGTGAGGACAAAAATCAGATCCCATTTTCCCCGGCCTCAAGAAGCTTTCCAGGAATGAAGAAATGGATCGTTACCGTTGGACCGCGCTGCCCCCTTGGACCTGGTTTGCCAGGTGTCCCCTGGAATGAAAAAGAAACGTAGAGGAGTTAGCAGCCAGCATCATGGGCTGAGCTGGGAGCAGATGAACCCACAATGGAGCTGGTTGCACAAAAACTGCCCCCAAACCCTCCCCAGTTCTCATTTGCCATGAAAAGGACAACAGCAGGTTTACTTTGGGCTCCTAATGATTTTCTTTACTTTCATTTATTTTCATCCTTGGACAAGCCTGGATGGCAATTCCAATGCCCAGACAATATCTAACATCTGAGGGAAGGAATCTCTTAAGAAAACATATCTAAAGATGTTTAAGGAGCAGGGTTCCTGCTCTGAGCAGCTCGTTTACGCCACACAAGCCAATTAGGCTGCCCCACATATTTACAAATCTCTCTTCATCTCTCTGAACTTTGTGCGAAACGAGTCATTCAAGACCTTGTTCCGCAGCCGCGCCAAAGCAGCAGGCTGATGCGACCTGACAGATGCACTCAGCTTCCTCTAATGGGGGACGGCGATTAATTCTGACAGAAAAAAGACAGAGACGGCTGGGTCCTAAATCTGGCATTACGTTAAGCTCCATTACCCCGTGCCTAAAATAAAACTAATGGCCTAGAGCTCGCTCCCTAAAAACACTATTTTGGATAGTGTCAAGTTACCAAAAAAATCCTCATCAGTCGAACTTTCTTCCTCCGGTCCTGCTGTAACTATCGTTACCAATCGCCCGTTAATGGAAGGAAGAGCAAGAACTTGCTTTCTATGTAAGGAACACAGGATGCTTAAAATATCACTTGCCATTTTCTGCCCCAAATCCATCATCCCACAATCTCACCATCTCCTATTTAGCATTCATTAACCAGGCAAATGTAAAACAGGACCTGGAAAACTTTACAATCAACTTTCTTCAAGCTATTAAAATGAGTCCTGCTGAAAAATCTGCGGCTCCATTTAATAAACCCTGCTGGTACATCTTTTTTTTTTTTAATTAACTACAAAGATCATTTTAAAGTACTCCAGCTGGTTTTCCTTTAGCTACAGGAGGCTAACCCCAGAGCAGGTGGAGGGGAGCGTGTGCCGCCTCCCCGCAGGTACCCCCCACGCTCCTCTCCTTCCTCTCTTCTATTTTTAAGCAAAAATTTTCCCCTGCTTATTGTTGTCATTAATCATGCATACAGCGCTGTGTGCTGTTGCAAAGAATTTATGTAGCACTGTAAAGGTGCACAGACCCATCTTTTTCAAAGAGGGAAAGGCATCTAAATTCAGATTATTTTCTAGGCACCCAAATAAATGGTTGGATTTTGGTACCTCCACGCACCCCCCGGGCTCTGTCAGACCGGGCGAGCAGGGAGATCTATTACCCCGTGCTAATAGCAGAGGCCTATTAGCTCGAAAAATAAGACCACTTACTCATGTCTAACTATTGATTTTATGACCAGGTTTTGAAAATGTCCAAGCAAGCTCACCCGAGCTCGCCTCTGGCCGTGGGCAGCTGGGTGAGAACGGGCACTGCAACGAGCAGCCGCTCACCACAACTGTCGCGATATCTAACAGGTCACACTTCTCCCAAAACACCAAACATCCTTTTTTTCTTTTTTCCCCCATTTTTAACTTTGTCAGCCCTTTCGTGCAGCCGAACAACCAGAAGTGGTGGTTTTGGGTTAAGGTGCTTCAGCACTGCCGGCACCAAAATCCATCTTCCTGCACCAGCAAGATGCTGGTGCTGCTCTTCTGCCTTTGGTTTTCACCTTTTTTTTTTTTATTATTTAAGGACTTGGGAAGACTACTTGTGCTGCTGAAATAATGAGCGGGAAAGCTTATTTCAATTCCTAGATGATGCCAATTGCAAGAGGACCGCGTGATTCATATTATTTTGGTCACATAAACAACCGCGTCGAAGAGCACAATGGTAATACCTTGTAAAAAGAAAAGACAAACAAATGATTTTTTTGGTTGTTTCAGCTGCAAATTGGGTTACTCCACAACGCACTAGAAAAGAAACTCTCGCCTATACATGGACATGCTCATAAAATAGTAGTCTCAGGAGAAAGAGAGGGGGATTTATCAAGTCTAACTCAACGAGGTTTAAATTAAGTCGCTGGTCTCCATTTGGTTTGTGCGCTGTGATCCCAGCTCAGTCTATCATTCTGCACATAATCACTTTTCACTTAGTTCAAATCTGACACTTGGGAGTTAAAAAAAAAAAAAAAAAAAAAGGAGGATACCGAACCAGTTACTGAAAATCAGTATTTTGCTACTCTTAAAAAATTTTCACGCTGGGGTCCTTAGAGTAAAGGAGAGATTTGTCCATGAAAATCCTCTCTCTCTCTCTCTCATGCAAACACACTGATATGACAAGAGCATGCTGCTGGACTGGCTGTGGAATGGCATAAATGCTCCAGTCGCACATTGGGGAGGAAAAAAAAATAACATAAAATAAACGAACTTGTTTCTGTTTGACAAAAGCGTGCCAGACCGTGCTCCCCATTAGGCATTGGGGAAGTCCTGACCCTGCTCCCCATGCACTAAAACATTATTTGTCCCCAAATTCCCATCTCCTTCCTTTACAGCAGAGGTTTGGGGATGCCGGCACAGCGATACCAGCCCCGGAGCCCATGCTGGCCCCAGTGCATCTCAGCTCCCAAGCCAGGACAACCTGAGCTGCCCCATCTCCTTCCAGGCTGGGCTGGAAACACAAAAAAAATCCCTTTTCAATCCCTAAAGTGAAGAAATGTGGGATGCCAGGGGTGTAACTAAGCATCCTCACTACCTCCTCCAAGGAGCACAAGGCTCATTTAGAATAAAAGTGAGTCAACTGCTGATTTTATCTTTTCTTGGCTTGTTATCATTGCTCTGCTCCTAAAGTTGGGTCCCGTCCCAGCACACCTGCTCCCTCCTCAATGCCCTTCAGGCTGGACATTGCCAAAATTCAACCAGCCTAAACCTTGGGGGTTTTTTCCCATCTCATAAATGACCAGCTCCTGGTACCTGCTTCACTCCCTGGCGTTTTCCCATCCCAGCAGTTTGGCTCTCCACCCCACCAGAATAACATTAGCAGATGGAGCAAGAGGGCTGCGGATGCTCAGGGATGCAGAGCAGCATGTCTCCGCCCCGCTGCGGTGCCGATGCCCTGTTTTACACCACCCAAATATCCAGCCCAAGGATTTTATTGCTGTATATTCGATTAGGTGGGTGGTAATTATAGGGCTACAGTGAATTCAAGGTTGTCGTGGCAGCTGCCTTACTCATGGCCTCCCTCCTCCCTCCCAGCCGGAGCAGAGGGAGGGGAGAGGATGCTGCGTTTGTAGTTCAGAATGAAATGAAAATTACTCTGGGGGGGGGAAAAAAAATGGGGGGGGAGTGGATATAAACCAAATTTTCGTGGCATGATATTAATGTAGTGCAAAGTGATTTATATTTTCTGGGCTCCTCTCAAACATGTCTGTTAGAAGCCATTTGTATTTAAATGAGAATAAAAAGGAAACTAATTCCACTCGCTCTCCTCACTCCCTCATTTTTTCCCCTGTGACCAGAACTGATGCAGAAAATGACTTTATGTTGTACTCTGAATCCCCTAATGCAAGCATGTCTTCCACAAAATAAAAAAAATCACTGGTGCGTTTGACAATCCCTACTTGGGAGCAAAGTCTGTGGAGGTGGGGTGAGAGGTAGAGACAAGTCTGGAGGACGGAGCCCCCACATTTTAAAGGTGTTCGTGAATTTGGAACAGCTCTATTAAAAAGAGGAACTTGGAAAAGTGTTTTTATCTATGTGTTTTGAATCTCAAGTTAGGCTAAAGATGGTTCTTGCTGCTTCTGAACAGATTCACCCATCTCTAATAATTACTGGTAATTAAAAAGCTCTCCGTGCCCCGAGCAAAGTCTGACAGCGCGGGAAGGATTCAGGTTCAGAGAAATCTCTTAAAATATCTTGAAGGAAAAATTCCCAGTGTTTAATTGGAAAGCTGCTGTCTGCAGCACCGACTGTGCTATTACTGGCATCCTCCGTCGGGAGCCTCTTGCTCCAGGAACCTCCTCCTGGGATGCAGGCGGGTGGGATGTGACCCTTCTTGGAGCAACCCCTTCATGCCAAAGCATCCTGAGCACCAGCCCAGGTCCTGCCACAGAGCATCTCCCATGTCCTGCCCTGGGACCTCTCTTGGGAGAGGAAAAAAAAATTAAAAAATAAAAAATGAAACCACGCCAAAGCAGCTCTTACCCGTGTGCCCTTCTCTCCGTTGGCTCCTGGAAATCCTGGGAAGCCGATGGAGCCCTTGGGGA